AAGAATTGTAGTTGCAATTGCAGTCCTACCTTCGTGTTTTTGGCTTGCTCAAGAGAGAGGTTTTAAAACCAAGATTATTGAATTGATGGTCAATGCGTATTGGGTTTTCATGGGTTCAGCTCGAGAGAGTTAAGTCTAAACCCTTTTCCACCCATTCAGCTTGAGAGAGTGAATTCTAAACCTTTTTCCATACATTCAGCTCGAGAGAGTGAATGGACTAAGGCGTAGGCTAATCTTATTTGCTTGCTTGTTGGTGTTCGAGAGAAATCGACTTGATTCGGGGTAAATTGTTCGAGAGAAAGGTTACCTCCTTTATAGTCTAACCTATTTACTAATTTACAGCCATTTACTAACAGTTGCATTTACCCATTTGTCTACATTAGTCCATAATCGAATCACATCCCAAGAACCCGTCTCATTATTGTTATTCCTTGTTATTTGTTGTTGTTGTAGTTGATAATTACAATCAAAACCCCACTTTTATTTGACATGTGTCACCCCTGATTTGAATTATGTTTTTATTCGATAATGTCTATTCCTATGGTTGACTTGAGCATATTCGTACTTTCTTATTGATTCTCAAACACATACCACTTCCTGTGGAATTCGACCCCAACTCAATTAGTTGGGTTATATTACTGACTAACGATCGTTGACACTTAGAATTGGATGAAGTGTCCTGATCGTGTAATCAAAATAGAGCCCCTACCGGGGAGTGGTGTTGTTTGAGAATTTTTAGTTAAGTTGAATTTTGTTCTTGTTAGTTATAGTTGAATCTACATATTTTAGCTTTGGTTTTATGTTGTTGTTTTAAATAGGGAGTATGAGTGTGAACGGAAGCAATGGTAGCCAAGTAGGCCACCAAGATGACATTGACAATCTCAATGAGCCTAATATTAATGACCCTCATCTTATGGGTGGAATTGGTGTCATTTGATTGCCTCCGGTTGAAGGCAACGCTATGTTCCATATTTCAGTGGTTTGGCTCATAAGGATCCCCATGAGCATATCATAAATTTTGTTGATGTTTGCGGACCATTCTCCTTCAAGAACATATCCTAAGAGTCTGTACGGTTGAGATTGTTCCCGTTCTTTCTGATAGGAGAAGCATGTAAGTGGTTGGCTGCATTGCCACGAGACTCAATCACTTCTTGGGAAGAGCTTGTCACCGCATTTCAAATACATTTTTTCCCTCCCCTGAAGTTGATGACACTTCAGGACAACATTCAGAGCTTCAAGCATCTGGAAAGCAAGCCAATTCATGAGACTTGGCTGCGATTCAAGAAGTTGGTGTTGTAATGCCCAACTCATGGTTTGCCTGACAACATGTTGCTGCAGTATTTTTACCGGAGCCTTGACTTTGTAAACAAGGGTGATGCTAACCAACTTTCTCCTGGAGGGTTGATGCAACAACCTTATGTGATAGCAGCTCAGCTTTTGGATGGCATGACAAAGATCAACCAGGCATGGTACACCCGCGAAGACAAAGTCTCTCCACTCACTTTCAAATTGACGAAGGAGAAAATGGAGAAAGATCAAGAGAGGGATTAGAATATGGCCAAAATCATGACCCAACTTGACATTTTATCTAAAAATGTCATGGGAGCAGGTGCTAGGAGTGTCAATGTCGTTGGTGTTGGGTGTGGGAACCTTGAAAAAGCCAAATTTGAAACTTTGTATAATAAGGATGTGACCAAAAAGGTGGTTATCGTAAAAACTACCCGAGGCAGGGTGGTAACCAAGGTTGGAGCAGGGATGATGGTTGGAGAGATCGTGATAGAGAATGGAGGGATCAAAATCCTAATTGGAAGGATGGGGAGAAGGATAGGTATGTTCCTCCCTACGAGTGTCAAAAGCCAAAGGATTATGAGGTAGGTCGGTCGAAGGATATGCTTTCTCGTATCCTCAACAAGGTTGAGGGGTCGGACAATATCTTGAAAGAGATGAAGGAAGATGTGTCGACCTTAGCCAGACAATTACTTCTCATTCTGTCTCTACCAAACAGTTGGAGACCCAAATAGGTCATATCTCGTCTTATTTAAACTCGAGACAACAATAGGGGTTGCCTAGTTACACTATGGCCAACCCTAAGAATGAGGTTTAAGCGTGGACTTGTGTCATGCCGCGAAGTTAACTAAGGCGCTGCTTCGCAACCCAAGTATTATTTGCTTTATTTTTTATTTTGAAATAATGGTGTGTTGATTGTGCAGGTTAAAGTGTGGAATGTGTTTGAAAAGTGTAGATTCGCGAGCCAACAGTTCAGCCGGTGCATCACCGAAGAGGTCGGTGAGCCCGACTTGGACCGCCGTTGGACGCAGGACATCTTGAAATTGGAGTCTATAAAACTCGGCGAGCCCATGGGCAAATTGGCGAATCACCGACCAGGTTGGCGATCTCAATTTTGACCACCGTTTGGACCCCCACATTAACTGGGGGTTCTGTACAACTCGGCGAGGTAAATGTCCACTTGGCGTGTCACCGAGTGGGTCAGCAAAGCAAAACTAATATCGTCGAATGGGCGAGAACTGGATGGTTTTTAAAGGCCAAAGGATTAAACTTTCAAACTCTTTCACTTTCCCTCACTTTTAAACTTCCCAAACTCACACCCACATTATATTTTCCGTATTTCGTACATTTTTATTACTTTTTAGTCATTGAGTTTGTGTTCGGAGTTGGATTCATTACCGCTTAGATTTACAACCTTAATATTCGGTTTAAAAGGTTGGTTTTTTGAACCCCGAATCTATATTTAGCGATTTTTACTC